AGTTGTACAAGCAATTGGAACAGGTGACATTGTCATGTCAATGAAGACGCCGGTGGGATTAAAAAAGGAGTGCTTACCTCTGTCTGGCACATTCCTAAGCTATCAGCAACTTATTTTCCGTCGGACGTTTTACTAAGAACGTTGGTCCAGTAACCTTTGAGCGCGACGGTTGTTTCGCTGAGGTCGAAGGTCTTCATTGGAAGCTTGGTGAGCGTGAAGGCAAGGGCTTATTTCATCTTTGCATGAAGCCTATTATACCTGACGAGGCCAACGTGACAAGATCGTTGGGATGCAATGAGGACACCACTTCGTACCTCTGGCACCTTCGACTTGGTCACATAGGCCATGGCGGCTTAGAAGCCATCGTCAAGAAGGGTTATGGCATTGGGGTCAATTTGGCGTCAGTAAAGCAGTGGGAGATGTGCGATGGCTGCGCACTGGGGAAGCAAACACGTGTAAGATTTACAAAGTCTTCTTCTAAATGGGACCAACAAGTGCTTGAAGTCATTCACAGTGACGTTTGTGGACCAATGCAGACCGCGACATTTAGTGAAATACGCTATTTTGTCACGTTCATTGACGAGTACTCCCATTTTTGTGCTGTGTACCTGCTGAACACCAAGTCCGAAGTGTTTGACAAGTTCGCAGATTACGTTGCGCTTACTGAGACCCATACTGGCAAGAGGGTCAAATGCATTCGAAGCGACAATGGCGGTGAATACACTTCTGCTGCAATGACCAACTTTTGCGCAAAGCGCGGCATTGTACAGAAGTTCACGCCACCGTACACACCTCAGTTGAATGGTGTTGCTGAGCGAATGAATCGGACTTTGGTTGAATCGGCTCGATGCATGATGGAACATGCCGGTTTGTCGAAGTTTCATTGGGGTGAAGCTGTTGTGACTGCCGCATTTCTAGGCAACAGATGTCCAACTCGAGCAACAATGCACGACAAGTCGCCATATCAAGTTTGGACAGGCAAAAAGCCTTTACTGGCGAATTTGAAAGTGTTCGGATGCCATGCGTATGTTCACGTGCCGAAAGAGAAGCGATCCAAGTTCAACGCCAGGTCAGTCCGCTGTCAATTTCTTGGCTATTCGGATTATGAAAAAGCGTATCGATTCGAATACGTCGAAAGTGGTCGATTGTTGGTTAGGCGTGATGCACAGTTTATGGAGAACGTGTTCGACTGCGGAAAGCACTCTGCTCAGCACGAGATTGTGATACAGGATGAAGAAGAACAAGATTCGTTACAGTCTGATGAGACGGATAAAGAAGATAACGATGATGTGCGAATAAAGAAGACTTTGCGCCTGGCAGCATACGTTACAACCGTTCAGAGTCGCTTGAAAAAGCTGTCAAAATTCCTAGGCCGAAGCGATCAGGTCGTTATCAGTCTCTCGAAGAGATGTCAGCTGCAGCTCAAGATTTTGAAGCGGCCTACATCATGGATTCAGTGCGAGAAATGCCGACAACATTCAAGTCGGCTATGGAATCCAGTGATGCAGGCAAGTGGAAAAAGGCATGCGACTCAGAAATACAGTCGTTCCAACAGAACAAGACCTAGATGGGTTTTTAACATTAAAGAGAATAAACTGGGAAAGATCGAGCGTTTCAAGGCACGTCTTGTGGCCAGAGGTTTTCTGCAGAAGTATGGTGTCGACTATGAAGAGACGTTTGCGCCAGTAGCCAAGTTCACATCCATCAGGATTCTTTTAAGTCTTGCGGCCAAGT